TAAAAGGTGAGTCACAGAAAGATTTTTGCGAGCCACAAATATTGCCAGTTTTATTGGTCACATAGCAGGCCGTCGTTGCTGACTCTGCCGTCCCCAGCTGGGGTGGCATGGAGACTCGCCCACGGCTTCCGGAGGACATTGTTCATGGTTTCTGGACTCACCATCTCCCTTCCACACAGAAAGTCCCTGGGGGTGTGGCTTGTGTCCCTCTGTTGCCCACTTGGGACACTGAGGCGGGGGTGGCAGCGAGTGGGCAGCAGGACAACCAGGGCTAGGCGGGACGGTGTCACAAGGGCCTGGCACCCTCTGATGTTTCAGATTTATAAACCCAATGTTTGTTTTCTAATTCTCTGTCCAACAAGCAAAACTGAAAGGGTTGTTCTTGCACAGCTGATGATGCTGGCAGCAGGTGCTGTGTGGGCGCCCTGTGGCTGCCCTACCTGTAGCTCTCTATCTGCGGCTTCCGGCTTATTTGTTTTGAGGCAGGGTCTCCGTGCAGCCTATGCTGGCCTCGAACTCGGGCCTTGAAGGCGAGATGCTCCTGCCTCAGCCTGCTGTGTGCTGGCATTACTGGCATGCACCACCATGCCCACCTTCTCCACAAGAGCTGCGTGGGCAGATTCAACCAACCTCAGGCTGAAAGCACTTCAGGAAATCACCTCTGTACTGAACATTTGCAGTTTTCCTCGTGGTTCCTCCCTGAACCAGCTCGGACAACACTGTTCTTGCAGTCCTTACGCTGTGTCAGTGACATCAGTAACTGAGAGGATCTCACCTGTGTGACAGTGTGTGCCTGGGTTCTACGATGCCCTCTCACAGGAGGGACGCGGCATTTGGTCCCCAGGAGCCAATCCGACTGCTGCACAGGGCATGGGAGCTGCTGCGGCCTCTTCATATGTGAGGAAGCGGAAGCGTAGAGGTTGGTGACCGCCCGAGGTCACCCTGCAGTGGCTGGTGGTGCCCCCCAGCCTGACACAGGCGCCCCGTATTGCGGCCTGCCTCGAGTGACCTAGCTCAGCGCCTCCCGCAGGTCCCTGAATCTTTGGCTTTCACTTAGTTTTGCTAAAATCTTTTTACCCCCTTGAGTTTAAATCTTGATTCTAAATAAATTACTCAGCTGCATTATAACTGCAACGATGCACTTGTTAGGTAAGCGAACATCTCAAATTTCTTAAACGTGCTTAAAATACCAAATACACCTAGATTTCCCCTCAGCTTGCTCCAGAAATATCAACACAGGCCGGGCACTCCTGATCCAAAGATCCAGAATACTCCAGAGTGAGCACCAACATCACCCACACATGGGTAATTCCACACCCGACCTTGTGTCACAGGTCAAAGTCAAAACACAGACACTAAGAACATCTCAGGAGATTACTTCCACTGTGGTGGGAGGTGCACTGTGTCTGGACTTGGGGTCCTTCCCCAGGACGGCTCACTGTGTGTGCAGATGTTCCAGGACCCGTCGGTCTGGAGTCCAGAAACACTGTCCGCCCCAGGCATTTCAGATGAGGGAGTCAGCAGGCCCGCGAGCTTGACTGGCTTTATTATCTGTGTGCTCTGGACGCACTGGACACTGAACTTGGCTCGGTCCTGTTTCCGAATGTCCCCTTTAGAACCGCCCTTCTTACTCTCCGTGAGCTGTGGGGGCGACCTTTCCATGGAACTGGGGTGACAGGCTGGCTGGAGGAGTTGCCTGTTGGTGGGTGTCTGCACCTGAGCCCCCTCGTGTCCCCAAGTTGTCCCCAGCTCTCACCTGTGATGGGCCTGAGCCCTGGCCGTGTGAGAAGGTTCATTTCACCGGCTCGCTGCTTGGTTCCTGAATTCAGGGTTCTTGCCCATCTTTGGACCCTCAGGCCCAACACCCACCTGTGCCTGTCGCCTGGCTGTCACTACCCGTCCCACGGCCGCGCTTGTGAGGCAGCTCTTCCTGTGCCCCGATCCCCGGTTTCCTGGCTGGTCCCAGGGCCCAGGATGGATCTGTGGGCGTCCACCCCAGGCAGGCCTGCGCTGCCTCAGCCCGAGGCGGTGGAGGCAGGACGGCTCTTGGGCGGAAGGGAGGAGCGGTGGCGCTGTGTGGAGAAGGGTCAGTAAAGGGGCCGCTTTGTCTGGGGCTTTGTCATCGGGACACCTGGTGGCACTCGGGGTGACGGAAGACTCCAAGTTGCGAAGGCGGGGAGGAGGCCGGCAGCCCGGCCCCAGCTGCAGAGAGGTGCTGCTCACAGCCTCCATTCTCCTCTGTGCTCCAAGCTTGGGGCGTCCAGCCATGTCCACTGCTCGGGTCCCCCTGCCAGACCCCAGAGCCTCGCTGGAGCCAGTTTGGGACTAGGTCCCTGCAGCATGGCAGCTCCTCATGGCTGCTGACTGCCGGGTGGCACTGCGCGTATGTTCACGCTGTGGTATCCGCTTCAGGTGAGGCCTTGTCCTCCTCACAGCTCGGTTCAATCACCTGATCCAGGTGGTATCTCTGCCACACTTGCTGAGACAGGGCTTTGCTTTGTAGTCAGGCTGTCCTTGAACTCCCTATGCAGCCCAGCTTGGCCTCAGATTTTTGAAAATCCTCCTGCCTCAGCCTCCCGAATGCTGGGATTGCAGGCGTGGGTACTTTGCCCTGCGTGAGCTCACACGGGGTGGGGCTGATGCAGAAGTGAGCGGGGGCCCAGCAGGCCAGCAGCCACGGGCAGAGGGGCCGGCTGTGGGCGGGGTCTGCGGGCCCCTCTTCTGGTCTCCTGGTGCCTGCCCACCGCGTGCCCACACACAGGCCTGTGGTGCCTGGCGTGGAAGTCCCTGACCACAGGGAGCGACCGAGGCCGGGCTCAGGGTGAAGGAGCCGCCGCAATGGGCCCAGCGCCTGGGGCTTCTCTATGGTGCTGCAGCCCTGCTGGCCTCCTCCCTTCGGCTGCCTCCCGGGCCGCAGAGGGTGTGGGGGCTGAGAGTGCTGGGGGCAGAGAAGCTGGGGGGAACACCCTGGTGCCCAGGGACCCCGAATCCGCCCTGGGATTTCACAGGCTTGTGAGGAAATCTTCCATTTTGTGGTTGGTTGCTTTGTTACTCCCTGAAGTGATCTTTGGAATAATATTAAATAATTATTAACCAAGTCTGCGTCTCACCGCCTGTGTGAAGCCCACCTCAGCTTTGATGAAAAGCCGACTTCAAAGGCAGAGAAATTCGGCGTGGAGCTTAAAGTATGGGAATTAAAAATAAAAATGCATCTGTAGTAAGTTGAAAAACAGTGGCCAGGCAGCCAGGAATAATGTAAACTTGCTTTTAAAATTCATTTCTAAGGAATTTTACTTTAAAAAAATGAATCTGGAGCCCCCAGATAAGCTGTAAGAGTGTTCGTTTTCGGCTAGCTGGCCTTCTGCTGGGTGGCTGTGCCTTCAGAATGACTTGTTCCCCCATACCTGTCTGCAGAGCAGCAGTTACAGCCCCACACGGACACTGCACAGCTTTCTCTGAAGTCCTGTCCCCAGGGTCCCCTGGTCCCTGGGCAGGGTTTTCTGTTTGTCACCTCCTGGCAGGGCAGACTGCAGGGCACAGGGTGAACTCGTGGGGGGGGGTGTCCCCCATGCCACCTGTGCTGCTGGGTGCCTCAGTGGGGAGCTCAGACGTCCTGCGGGGCAGGGCCGAGCTGGGTCACTTTTCCCAGGAACCCCGACTCCCACCTGCACGTGACCAGCCCTGGTCACTTATAAGTGTGCATCACATGCCCAGAGCTTCACAGAGCTGCTCCTTAACTGGCCGCTGTGCCGAGCTCTGGAGGAGTTCAGACACGCCCTGAACTAGAGGAGGAGCAAAATCCCAGGGGCCAGAGGTGCTTGGTATTAAATTTATTCAGCTAAGAGATCTTCAAGCATTTTGGGTTCTTCACATGCAAAAGGCAAACTGCCTCACTAAAAATGTCTTTGTAAAAGTCAAGTCTATTTAAAACTGAGAAAATATTTAAAAATTAATATTGTGTCCATATTATTTTGCTAAAAACTTGGTCCAACCTCATGCACTCAGGAAAATATGTGTTACCCCTTTTCTGCTTACAGTTTTCAAGGATTTCATGTATTTCGTCCTCACTTTAGCACTAACTTGAGAGAATGACCAACTATTGGCTATTCAAGGTGAGTTTATTATAAAAGCTTTTAGTGTACAGTGAGTCACATCATGTTAGCTATATGGGCTTTTTTGTTTGCTTTTTACAGTGCTGGGGTTTGAATCCAGAGCCTTAGCCCTGAGCTACAGCTACAGCCAATTTTTATTTTTCAGTTTGAGCCAGGGTCTTGCCAAGTCAATGGGGCTCAAACTTGTGATCGTCCTGCCTCGGATACCCAGAGAGCTGGTGTTGCAGCAGGCAGCACCACACACCTGGTTTTCACCATGCTTGGTTTTCAGGGATGTTTGTAGGTGTCTTTTTCTGGAACCGAGTACTGTTTTGTTAAGTAGTAAATAAATGAATTCTGCTGGGTGATACTTTCCCTGCTCTGTGGTCACATGTGGGAGGTAAAAGGCCTTTGGGATCCAGATGAGTGACAGAGGAAACAAGTTACTGGCTGCCCACTTCCATTTTAAGACTGACCTTTAGCTCTCTGCAGGCCTGGGTTGGTGACAGATGGCCTTCTCAGTCGGGGACACCCAGGGCCCCAGGTCCAGGCAGCCAGAGCTGCACCAGTGTCTTGTTCGGAACCTGCATCGCGGCTATAGCCACCTGGCAGCTGCCTGGTGTCTGTGCCCCAGTGTGCCACTCTGGGGCCGCTCTGCCCTAACGGGGAGCCGGGAAGCCATTGCGGGGCCCTGGTGCTTATGTGGACATAGCAGCCTCGTCCAGGCAGCCTGGCGACTGCTGCTGGCTGCGCGGTGGGCGTGTGGCCACGTGACCGTCGTCCCAGTGCGGGGAATTAACTGAGCTTCTCACTGCGCCATTGCCTGCCAGGCATCTGTGTGGTTGCAGCTTGGGGCTGCATGGACAATCAGGGATCCTTGACTGCTTTTGGGGCCCCTCACCAAGCCGACCGTGGCAATGCAGGATGAGTGACTTTGAGGAGTGGATTTCCAGGGCCCACAGGAGGGGGGACAAAGGCCCCCTCCCCCTGATGACCTTTGCCACTGCCCCCTACCACGACCAGCAGCTGGGAGCCAGTGGGCTGCGCAAGAAAACCTGTCACTTCGAGGCAAAGCCGTGCTACCTGGAGAACTTCGTCCAGAGCATATTCTTCTCCGTAGACCTGAAGGATCGGCAGGGCGCGTCCCTGGTGGTCGGCGGTGATGGGCGCTATTTTAACAAATCCGCCATAGAAACCATAGTGCAGATGGCGGCCGCCAACGGGGTTGGTACCCGGTGGCTGGTGCTGTCCCTGTTGCCCCGTGTCTTGCTGAGAATGCAGTGCACTGACATCCCTAACCCTCCCGGCGACCTCCTGCACCTCCAGACTTGCCACAGTGCTCTGGGATCCGTGCATGCTTGCTGTGCTCTGTCCCTTGCTCGAAAAGTGCATGTGGCTCTTTGAAAACCACCCTGGCCTGCAGCTTTGTCTCTGCATTGCGTGCGGCGTCCGGGGCGCTGGCTGTGCTGGGGCTGCGGTGAATGCAGGGGAGGCTGTGTGCTCCTGCAGGACTCACTTGCAGACAGAAGCCAGGGTCTGCTGCTCTTGGTGGACCCTCTTAGCAGCGGTAGGCGGGCCTTCCCGGACCACCTGCTTTGGAGGGAACTGGACAGGAGGAGCCCTGTGTGGGGATTGTGCAGCAAAGCAGAGAGCAGAGAGGGACTCACCGAGAGCCAAGGGTCCGGTCTGCAGCTCCAGAGCTGGGCTGGCCAGACCCTGAAGAGCACCGGGAGGGCCGTGGCAGAGAGAGCCCATCTGCTGCCCCAGGAGGGCCCTGGAACATTGCTGGTTTTTCTCCATAGATTCCCCAGGGACCCAGGCAAGTGAAAAATTGCAGTGACTTGCAGTGTCTTGGAGGAGGCTCAGCAGAAACACGAGCGCCTGTGCGTTTCGGTGTCTCATTCTGGAAGAGATTCTGGCTTTGAGAACATGAATTCTAGCCTTGCAAATGCGTGTGTTGGGTGTTGGTTTTCAGTCTGTTCTATTGCTGTGCCCAGCATGTGTGTTTGCAGAAAACCCAATTAAAAAGAAAAACAACCTCATGAACAGAAAGTGAGTGTTTGTGGCTGCTGTTGGTTGTAAGGTGAGGTTTCCTTGATGGCTAGTTTCGGAATCTGAATGCTCCTCAGGTGGCTGTTGCTAATAAAGCTCTCAAATATGAAATTATTATGAAGCACACACATTTTTAAGATAAAATGTGACATACTGTAAATTTCTCCTTTGAGGAGAGCTGCGCAGGGAATGGTATTAAGATGCTTTTAATCTTTGGAAAGGAACGAAAGGGACATTATTTCTCCACATACACCTGATTGTGCAGGAATCCGGGGCCTTGTCCCCTCGGCTGTGATGGATTTGGCTTCATTTCATTTCTGTGAGGGGCTGAAGGATGGGAAGAGGTGGTGGGAATGTGTAATTCAGGCCACCCCCGGGCTTTCGCACATCTACTGTCTGAAGCTTTGCTAAATAATGCATCCCGGTGGCAATAACTGACTAAATATCGGAACCATTCTTCGGTAGCGCTACGGCTGCCCAAGTGGTATTTTCAGGTCTTTTCAAGGACATTCCTTAGTAAAAATAGCATCGCACTGAAAGCGGCTGTGCTGGCCAGGCAGATTCTATAAGATGCTCAGTGGGCTGATGGAGCCGCGAGATTCTAAAAGGTTTGCTTTCTCCTTTCTCTACTGTGTCCTAAATTCTAGTTATTTTAACGCTGCCTTGGTTGTAGATGGGACTGCAGTGGGGAGGATTATTGCCGCTGATTTTGCAGAAGTTAGTGCATCTTCTTTTGTCCACGTCCAATTAACAGAGGACTTGCAAGGCTAATGAACTAAATGCAGGCCATTTTATTTCCTCCTGGCGCGTTTGTGGTTATGAGCTATCATTACCTGCCCTGGAAGTTTCTCGAGCTGAGTTCAGGGCTGCCCGGAGGATCCCAAGTTCAAGGCCAGCCTGGATAACTTAGTGAGACTCTGTCTTGAGGCAAACGTAATAACCAGGGCTGGGGAGGTAGCTCAGTGTTGGTAGTGCACACCAGGGTCCCTATTTTTCATCTACTTATGTCTCATTCTTCATTTTCCCACTCTGTAACACCCTCCAATCCAATTTCCTCCTTTTTAAAGGCCAAGTAGTATTCCCTTGTGTGCACTCGCAGCATTTGTTTTGGTTGTTGCCCTGGTGAAGGTCATCTGGGTTGTCTCCATCCTTGGATTGTTGTGAGGGACACTGCCCGGAATGGGGGTGCACATGAGTCTGCCAGGTGCTGCTTCTGGTGTTTGGGGGGTGACCTAGGAGCTGGGTTTCCGAGTCAGGTGGCCCAGGGAGCATGAGTAGAGGAAGGCAGACAGCCATACTCCGAGAGGAGCACGGCGTGCTGAGCAGGTAGGTGGCTCAGCCTGGCAGAGCAGGGATTGTCCAGGGGGAGAGAGGTGCGGAGGCTGGAGGGGAGAGGGTATGGGGTAGAGCTGCTGCACCATCCCTGGGGGCTCATGAAGGGCTACAGGGAGCATGGTGATCCGGCCAAGCCTGCCCTTCCTGGGCTGAGAGGCGCGGTGTATGGACCCTGCCTGCTCTTGGTTCCTGCCCACTCTTACGCCATGGTCCCAGCCGTGACTCTGCACCTGCAGGCCTGGCCAGGAGGACTGGTGGAGTCAGTGCTGGCCTGGGGTGTGGCCTGGCATCCAGCAGCTCAGCTCAACCCCACATCCGTGCAGAAGCTACAGCCCTGGCCGCCCTCCAGCTCGCTCCCAGCCTCGTGTCCACAGTGGGGATTACAGGGGCCTCAGTGCTGTCCCCGGCAACGCCCGACCCTGGCCTTGTCATCTCCCCAGCCCATCCAACTGTCAGTGTGTGTCATGGCGAGTGTTGGGCAGGCAAGGAGTGAGGGTGGGCATTGGGGTCACGTGTCTCGGCCTCAGTGTCTCGGCCGTGCGATGGGCTTGGGAGGAGTGGAGGTGAAAAGGGAAAGTGGCCGGGTGCAGGCAGATCAGGGACAGCCCAGGGCATCACTTCTGCAGTGCCCACGGCTCCGTCAGCCCACAGGGGAGCCGCCTGCAGCCCTGCTGGTCCCCACTCCCGGGGGCGGGACACAATCCATCAGGCAGCTGCAGCAGAGCTGTTCAGAGACACTGAGAGCCCAGGGGAGGGTGTGAGCCAGCTGCTTCGGGAGCTGAGAGCCCCGGAGAGAGTCCCCAGGAAGCCAGCTGTCTATTGGCATTTTCGTCATCAGAACCCCCCAACCATATTTATCTTGGGTGGAATAAAGGGGAAGTCTGAAAAATGTTCCTGCCTACTCTTCACCCAGAAGGGGACTGGGAAAGGCGCACAGTTCCCATCTTAGGAGTCTTTTAATTTTTAAAAATTTTTTGATACAAGGTCTCGCTATGTAGTTCAGGCTGGTGCTGAACTCTTCACATAGCCCAGGCTGGCCTTGAGCTCACAGTGATCCTCCTGCCTCAGCCTCTGAGTGCTGGGATTGCAGATATGTAGCAGCACAGCCACCCAAGTCTTTCCCATCTTTCTACATACGTCAGAGGAGTGGATAAAGCTTGTCCAGCTTCGGTGACGTTGAGAATCAGATGTAAATTACTGTCATTTCCGCAAAGGGAGAGTGAGAGCCAGGCTGACTCCCTCTGTGAGAGGCAGAGGAAAGTGAGTTAGGGCTGCAGGAAAAGTCCCAGCTGTGGCCTCGCCCCGGGGTGCTGCTGTGTGGGTGCCCTGTCATCTCCCCTGTGTGGCTGTCTTGGGCCCCGGAAGTAACTGGGAATCACTGAGCTGAGGACAGAATCCACACGCAGGACTGAAGTGCAAGCCTGGCTGGAGAGAGACGCTGCAGGATGCACCTTAGATTAGTCCTGACATAGACGTAAAGTTTGCCCTTCTCCCTTTTTAAGAACTTGACTTTACAGACGCCTTCTCTTTGGGTAGAATCCCTTGAACTAACGTTCTCCTTGTGGATTGAAGGGCTGACTGAGTTGAATAAAAACTTGTGTCTTAGGACTAGGGATTTAGCTCAGTGGTTCTGCCACCTGCCTCACAAGTGCAAGGTCCGGAGTTCGATCCCTGGTGCGAAAAAAAAAAAAAAGTGTCTTCTCTGTCTTCGAATGTATCCAAAGTCTGAACCAGATCTGCAGAAGCCCTGTTAGGAGGATGCTGTTTTCCTGCCAGCCCCCTGCAGCACCCAGACCGTGCACCGCCCCTCCACTGCCAGCCCCACCATGGTCAGAAGGATGGGCTCGATTCCGACGCCATTCTAGTTCAGGCCACACTGCAGCATCCACAGAACACGCATGCTGGTGCTGGGCTGCGGCTTGGGGTCTGGGTGGCTTCCAGGATGTGACAGTGCTCTGATTCTTCCTCCTAGATCGGGCGCCTGGTAATCGGGCAGAATGGGATCCTCTCCACCCCGGCCGTGTCCTGCATCATCAGAAAAATCAGTGCCATCGGTGGGATCATCCTGACGGCCAGCCACAACCCAGGCGGGCCCAATGGTGACTTTGGGATCAAGTTCAACACCGCGAATGGAGGTGAGGTTGTGCCTGCTTGCTTCCAGCTGGGTCAGCCGGTACCTGGCCTTTGTCCTCTGTGGGAAGGGGCCGTGGCTTCCGTTTGGTGGCTGTGAAATGCTTCCCCTGCCTGGGCACGGGAGCCACGCGGGTGCCTTTGCTTCCTCTAGGAAGATCCTGGCTTTGCTGCCTGAGGCTGCAGGGCTGCTGGGCCCCGGGCTCTCCACTTTCCCATGGCAGCGAACAGTGACCACCGTCTGCTGCTCACCCCCAGGTCCTGCTCCCGAGGCGATCACGGACAAGATCTTCCAGATCAGCAAGACCATCGAAGAGTACGTGATCTGCCCCGACCTGAGCGTGGACCTGAGTGTGCTGGGGAGGCAGCAGTTCGACCTGGAGAACAAGTTCAAGCCCTTCACAGGCATGTCTGTGCCTCCTCTTCCCCTGTACCTGTTTCCTGTTCGAGGCCTTGCTACAGTGGGCTCTGTGAGTCTTAATCCATCAGCAGGCCTAGAACTGGGCATGGGGCCCCACAGCCTGGGTCCCTGCGCCCTCCCTGCCGTGGTGTCATGGTGCCTCATTTCCAGGGCTCCCTTTCCACTCGGGGCCAAGGGCCTCACCGCGCAGACCTGCAGAGCGCCACGCAGGCCACTCCAGGAGCGCTGAGGTCACATGGTGGCCGTGGCTGCGGTTTCTGTGCAGAGACACAGCACTGAGGGGGCTTGGCTGGCTCACGGCCACACAGGCAGCGAGAGGAGGCGAGCAAGCAGGACTGAGTTGCAGGCGCGGTGCTCCAGCCGGCCTCCCTTCTTCCCTGCCCGGTATCCAGTCAGTCGTCAGGCCTTTATCCAGCGGCCCTGAGCCTCTGCCAAGTGAGGCAGCCATGGCTGATGGTTTGCTGCTGGATGCCAGGGCACTGGCACCAAAGCAGTGAGGGTCTGTGGGTTTCTTCTCATGCGTGGAATAAGGGCAAGGGGTTCGCTGGGGCTGAGTCTTGACTTTCTCCGTGGGTCCCTGTTCTCCTGGACTGGAGCCTCATGTTGTGCTCGGGGAGAGCTGACAGCAGTGTCCTGACCCAGACCAGGTGGCACCTCAGTGCAGCCGGAAGACTCCCCAGAGTTCCGGAAACTTCTGGAGACAACCATAAACTTTTTCTGTCTTAGAAGTGTCGAAACCCCTGAAAATCCAGTAAATAACAAGAACAATAATGATGCTAAATTGTTATGTTTGTTTTATTCTGTGAGTAGTACATATAAAAGTGGCTCATAAGGACATTTTCTTTTTGAGCTGGACATGGTCTGTATCTGTAGTTCCAGTAATGAGAGGCTGAGGCGGGAAGAGTCCTTGAACTCATGAGTTCAAGGCCAGTGTAGGTAATACAGTGAGACCCTGTCTGATGTTTTTTAAAAAAGCTTTTAAAAAAATCAGCTTTATACCTTTTTTTTGAGACAGGGTCTCACTGTGAGGTTCAGGCTGTCTTTGAACTCAGTGTGTGGCCCAGTTTGTCCTCAGAATTCTCAGTGATCTTCCTGCTTCAGCCTCCCAAGTGCTGGGTTAACAGGCTTGTGTCACTGTGCCCGGCAGTGTGGCGGAAAGGAGAGTGTATATAGCCTTAAGGAAAACCCCGTGCCCTGGCGGGGCAGGCAGGTTCCCCGCCTTTGGGTTCCTCGTCTGTAGGGTGGGACTGACAGCGTTTGCCTGTGGGGAAAAGGTTGGTGTTAAGATATCACTCGGGGTCCTGTCCCCTTGTGCTGCCCTGTAATTGTACTTTCTTTTTTTTGTTTTTTGTTTTTTTGGTACCGGGGATTGAACTCGGGTCCTTGCACTTGCAAGGCAGGCCACCGAACCCTTGAGCTAAATCCCCGGCCGTGAAATTGTACTTTCAATGCGTGCTCACGGCCGTGGACTCGGCAGAGAGCACGGTGCCCCTGCACGAGCTGCGTCCTCACCGCGTGGTGTTGCTTGTCCTTGCAGTGGAAATCGTGGACTCGGTGGAAGACTATGCCACCATGCTGAGGGGCATCTTTGACTTCAGTGCCCTGAAGGAGCTGCTCTCTGGCCCGAACCACCTGAAGATCCGCATAGATGCCATGCACGGAGGTGTGGATGGCTTCTCAGGGGCGGCAGCTGCTCCCTGCTCTGGGTCCTGCTGCCTTCACAGCTCCCCCGCTCCCATGGTGAACCGTCGTGTGGCAGCCGGTGACTGGGGACGCAGTGGGATCGGGGCACACACAGCGGAGCCCGCTCAGGCAAGGTAGTGGGAGGCCAGTGTGTGCGGCAGACGCCAGGGCCTGGGTCCCAGCCCGGGGTCGTGAGCCTCCCTGTCCCACAGAAGCCACGCATTCTCCTGGGTATTTCCGAGGGCGTCACCAGCGGCTCCCGAGCCACGCCCCCGTCACCACCCCACGTACTCCTTTCCCTAGAAGAGGGCGAGAGCCAGCGGGGGTGAAGTCCATGGACAGCAGAGTGCCTGGCCCCTCTCTGTCCTCTGTCCCTGTGTGACAGGGAGTAGGGACGGCAGTCTTGAGTGACCCTGCTCCGAACAGGGCCTTCCTCCCTGCAGGGCCGAGAGCTGTGAGCTCGTGCGTGTCTGTTTCATGGTGACTTCATTAGGACCCTGTGTCCACACATTGGCCTGTGTGACTGGGAGGAGACTTTCCGAGCCCTTGCAGTGACGCCTGCCAGCCTCCTGTCACTCTGCCACCTCAGTGAGGGGGACGCTGCTCCCCTGGGTGTGCGAGTCCCCATCCCGGAACCTGGCTCCTTCCTTATTCGGCCTTCGGTGCCCCCAGCAGACCGGATTGAGCCCCTCCACACACCCGACAAGGGTGTCGGGGACTGGGGGGGCCGCACGGAGGTGGGGGCAGCTGGATTCCCAGTGTCCTCTGGGGGTGTGAAAGTGGAGTTTGATCAGGGCCATCGGAAAGGCTTCCTTCAAAGATTTCCCCCAGGGCGGTTGCTGTGGTAGAAGTGTGAAGGCTTCGAGGAGACATCATACTGGGGCGAGAAGAAGCCGGATCCAACTTGGGACGGGGCCTGTGAGGGGCCCCGGGCAGGACAAGCCGCCGGGAAGTTGCTTCCTTCTTGGGCCTTCCAGGTCCCATGGAGGCTTCCCTGTCTGTGTCCTAATTGCCTTGCCGCTGTCACCGCCTGAGGTGTCAGGAGCTGTGGACACAGTGTGCTTGGTGGCTCTGCACACGGCGCTGTCAGCACGCGGCCAGTGTCGCTGTTGTCTGCTGACGTGGCTGATCTTGCGTGTCTAGCCTGACAGCGCAGGAGGACGAGGGAGAGAGCTCGGAACCCGGCTCCCACCCTCTGGCTGGGGGAGCCCAGGCCAGCATCTTCTTGTGTGCACCCTGGACCGGGTCTGACGTGAGCATTTGCCAGGCGCGCCACGTTCTCCTCAGAGCTTCCCAGGCCGCGCTGTCGGCCCTGTCGGGTTTGCACAGTGATGACCTTTGCCTACCGATGGGAGACTGAGGCACAGGGAGGCTCGGCCCTTCCCCAGCAGGGTGCAGCCCGGACTGGGAGTCAGGGATTTGAACCTCTGTCCTGCGTCCAGGCCCTCATGCGCCTCCCTCTCCTGCTCTGTGCGCGAGCTGGGCTGTGTTTCCCGACCCTGCCTGTCTGGGTTCCTCCGACCCGGCCCCCTGTCCACCAGCCCGGGTGCCACGTGAGCCCCATTCCCTTCCTGACTCTTGCGTTCCCTGTGCTTTGTGCAGTTGTGGGGCCCTATGTGAAGAAGATCCTCTGTGAGGAGCTAGGCGCCCCGGCCAACTCGGCGGTGAACTGCGTCCCCCTGGAGGACTTCGGCGGCCACCACCCCGACCCCAACCTCACTTACGCAGCCGACCTGGTGGAGACCATGAAGTCAGGGGAGCATGATTTCGGGGCTGCCTTTGATGGAGACGGGGTGGGTATGGACTTATCCAGTGGGCGCTAGCGGGCCCTGGGAGCCAGTGCTTGACAGCCAGGAGTTGGGACAGCTACCAGAGGCCTCTCTACTGGAAGTGGAGTCACTGCAGCCCCTGGTGCTCAGCCTCACAAGTGCAGGGCTTTGGTCCCAGGTCTGATGTACGAGGTGCTTTGCAGGCTGAGTCCTGACACCTGAGTCAGGACAACCTTCTGTCCTCAAACAACAGCTGACTGATTATCCAATCTGAAAAGGGCATAGTGGTGCACGCCTCTAACCCCAGCACTGGGGAGGCTGAGGCAGGAGGGTAACTGTGAGTTCAAATCCAGCCTGGATTATATAGCACGAACCTGTTTCAAAAACAAAATACATGCATATCTATCTCCTATTCACTCATATCAGCTGAAATGGTTAAGTTATAATCTTATAACCCATATGAACACTACTGAAACATTTCATGCTTTCTCCACAGCTAAAATCTTTATAAATGTTGGTTTTATTTACCTAGTGACCATGGAAGGCAGGGAAGAGGTGTGTTTGGGTCCGTTTTGTGGCCTCCTTGGTCCCTAGCAGAGTTAGGTTCTATACATGTTTACTCTAAAGTGGAAAATCTATTTCTGCTGTTGCTGTTCTTTACCAGTCTAGAAGTGACTACACCTTGAAAAACACCATTCCCTATCAGGATTTGGGGAATTGTGGGGCCATGGCAGACACTGCCGTCTGTCCTCCTGGGGGTACGGGCCGTGTCCGGCTCCTGCCCAGCAGAGGGCGGCAGGCAGCACGTGAGGGGACGGGGATGTGAGAGCCCTGCTCCAGGTCTGCTGCGTTCCCCAGGGAAGCCTGGCAGAACAGCCCCACTCCGCTCTCCCAGGTCCCCTCTGCTCTGGGAAAGGTCGGGCTGCTCGGGGGACAGCAGAGGGTCTGAGCCTTCATCGAAATGGTCCAGCTCTTGGCTCGAGCGGCCTTGGCCCTGGCCTTGCAGATGCAGAGAAAGGAAAGCTGGGCCTAGTGGGAGTGGATGAGGCGAGTGAGCTGAGCACTGCGCCCTCTGGCGGCAGGGGTCTGATTGCTGGCTTCCTCTGCATCCCCCCAGGACCGCAACATGATCCTGGGCAAGCATGGCTTCTTCGTGAACCCCTCGGACTCCGTGGCCGTCATCGCCGCCAACATCCTCAGCATTCCCTACTTCCAGCAGACCGGCGTCCGTGGCTTTGCGCGCAGCATGCCGACGAGTGGCGCCCTGGACAGGTGCGTCCTGGCCAAGCCCGGCTCTCCGAGCCCTTCGCATGCCCCGAGCGTGCCCGGTGTTTCCTGATGGGAGCAAGCTCGGGACCGGGCCCTTCTGAGGACCCATGCGCCCGCACGCCTTCCTCCCCAGCCTCTCCGCGCTGTGTGGGGTGCCCGGCTGGGCCTGAGCTTCTGCAGAGAGAACTGCGGCTCGGCACCCTCCAGGCTGCCTGGTGCATAAGAGTGCACATAACTTAACATGTGCGGGCGCAGATGAATTAACAGATGCCCGAGTGCCAGAAGCTGTTGGAGGAGTGAGTGCTGGCGCCTTTGTCTGCCCCTTCCTCTCGTGCCATCAGCACTGCGGCCCTGCCCCAAGCCTAATTGGAAGCTCAATTCGGTAAAATAGAAAACATACTGCGCTCCATTTTTATGCGTAGAAACCGGTGAGAACAAGCAGCTGAGACCTCAGCTGGGCTTGTATGTGTGTGTGAGACAGTTTGTGAAGGACTCTGTTATATACAGGAGCTCACATCCGAGACAACAGAAAGAATGAAAAGTAATAAATGAATGAGGACCAGGGAAAGTATCATTAGGACATGTCAAGTGCCCAGGAAGCTTTGGCTGAATGAAGAGAGATTGAAAGTTCACGTGTGGAGGAGTAGAAAGCAGGTGTCCAGACCGTCTCACTCCTGACCCTTCCCGAGTGTTACCCCATCCTGGACCCTAAATGCTTTGCACATTTTAAGTCATCTGGTGCTCACGCTGACCCCAGGGGAGCGCTCTGCGTACCCCGGTCTCCCAGGGGAAGACCAAGGGATGCAGTGAGGCCGTCACTCCCATGGGCAGGGACCCGGGCCCCGCCCTGGCTGTTGGTCCTGTGCCGGGTGTCGCTGCAGAGCTGGTGCTAACAAGAAAGCGGCGGATGATGTCCAGGGCATGGTGACGCGGGTGTTGCTTTGTGCATTCCCCACCTCCTGGCCACCAGGAGTCCTGATTTAGGTTAGAGGGGTCAGCAGGCGAGGCTGAGGCCCCGGCACCAGGTCAGAGCCGCTCTGTGCCAGCCTCAGGCCCAGGGCCACCTGGGAACAGCCTAATTCCGACTCTTGGAAGGGCTGAGCACCCACAGGTAGACTCTTACCTGAGCACTGCCCTGCCCAGCGGAAAGTTTACTGTGCTGTTTTAGAAATTCTCGGTTTGATTTTCCTCCAGTGTTAGATTTGGAAGCAAGCAGATCTCACTAGAGCTGAGGGTGGGACTTGTCAGGTAATTGTCCCTGTACAAAGAAAAAGGGAGTTTTTAAAGTCCAAGTTTTTACTTTTATTATTTGCTTGTTTGTTTTTGGTGCTAAGCACACACTACCGCTGAGCGTTAGCCCTGGCCCCACGCAGAAGTCTGAGGTAACCTGGGACTAGAGAGAGGGAAAGCTGTGTCGGTCGGGACAGAGGGGCCCTGAGCTCAGAGTGAGCGGCCGTGTGGCTGGAGACCCACACTGGAGATGCAAGGGACGTGGCCTGGGAGAACCATCCACGTGGCCCTGCCTGCGCCCTGTACGTGTGACCGTGCGGCTGTGCCACAGCACCGCTCTCTTGTTCTTCACAGAAAGGCTGTGCCGCACAAGGGGGCTCATAGAGCCCCCGAAACAGCCCTGCTCACTTTACTGCTGCTGCTGCTGAAACTTGGAACCACGGCCTGAAATCGTGCTGTCTCCTTCCGCTTCTCCCCTCCTTCTGAACCCACGCAGAATAGCCCACTGTGCCCGATTTTCTCTTGCTTTTCCACCGATCTCAGAATCGTGCAGACCTCTGAGCTCTGCTAAATCGGACCCTTGATTACGATACCAGCCGTTCTTTCCGTCTCGGTCCCGCTGTGATGTGACTTTGATTTCATGCCTTTGAAGGGTGGCGAACGCTACAAAGACTGCTTTGTATGAGACCCCGACAGGCTGGAAGTTTTTCGGGAACTTGATGGATGCCGGCAAACTGTCCCTGTGTGGGGAGGAGAGCTTCGGGACGGGTAAGTTGTACCCTGGGCTGGGTTTTATTTCCCACAACTGCCACCTCCAGCAAAAACCAAGACTGCTGAGATTAGCCCGGAAATGGCAGCAGGCTGCTGCATCCTAAATCAAAACACAATTTATTTATAACAACCCTGATGAAGTGTACACTTTCAAAAAGCAGCGGGTGCATCCAGCCAGGAGGGCTCGTTTTCCTTTCTCTGAGGATCATCCACCAAGTAGACAGGAAGTTGGGGGCTTCCCTGGCAGAAGGGCCATTGAGTCCGTGGGGATTAAACAGAGCGATAAACATATTTTTCTTGTCTCAGTGGCCAAGGAAACCTTCATAAATGTTTTCATTTCTGGAAAGAAATATGGAGGTATGAGCCAGGTTTTTGTTTTTTATTTAAGAAGAGGTTTAGAACAGCATTAAATCTTTCTCTTCCTTAGGCCCAAGTTTTTTAGAGCAGGGAGCTTTGATTTATCAAGGTGAGATGAAGGGCTGTCAGCAGAGAACTAAGTCAGTGGGTGATCAGGAAAGGACATACAAGTCCTTGTGCATGCATAAGATGTACGTGTGAACTGTGGCATGGGGTGGGGCAGGGCATGCTCCGGGGTGAGTCAAGAATTTAAACCTCACCTCTGGCCTGTCCAAATACTGATGTGACCACCTACATTCATCTCTCTCCTATTGTTATTTTTATTAGTACTACTACTACTACTACTGCTGCTGCTGCTACTAGTAATTTTTTCAGTACTGTGGATTGAACCCAGGGCTTTTACACTTAAGCTACATCCCTAGCCCATTTAATTTTTTTTTTTACTTTGAGACAGGGTCTTGTTAAGTCACTAAGTTGTCCAGACTGGGACTGAACTTGCAGTCCTCCTGCCTCAGCCTCCCAGAGTGCTGGGCTGGCCAGCGTATGCCACCACACCTAGAATTTTCCAAGTGTCTATTCAGACATGTGCTGGTCTCCAGCCAAACTGCAAGGTATTTAAGTGGCTGTGTGTCTTCTACCTCTTCCCAGGAGCTGGCTCTCTAATACCCCACAGTCACCCTCTAGCAAACAGAAATGACCAAAACCGAGCATTCTCTCAGCTTTGCAGCTAAGCTGCAATTCATTCTCTGCTCTGTTAAATAGAACGAAATCTGATTTCTTCTCCTTTCCTACAAATCCAGGGCCAGGTGAGTGGAAAGAGCTGGCAGATATGAGGCAGGTGTTGGCACAGTTCTCAGCATGCCGGTGCCATCGGGAGGGTGGCAGCACGTGACAGACCGGGAGGCAGTAAGCAAGATGTGTTTGGGGGTTGAACAGAGTCCACAAAGGATGCAGGATGGTCTCCCTGTGTTCTGGGGGTTTCATCAGAGGACATAGGACCCACCCAGTCCTTTTCTGCTCACCATGTGGGTGGTGCTGTGTTAGTCCATGTGCACTGCGTGAGTGTCCAGTGAACCTGCTGGGGTCTTCTCAGAAAACGCCCCCAGTGCTTTCCTGCCCAGGCCTGCCGCGGCTCATTCTTTTCATGGACAGAGATAGCCTGGGAGCCAGGCACCACGTCTAAAAGCCATGGACCTGTGTCAGTGCTGAGCCCAGAGAAGAGAAGTCTAGAACCAGCTTTCCTTGTGTGTGGGTGTGCGGGAGAATACTAATTCCACAAGTGAGTCCTAGTGTCAACAAAGATTGGGAAACTTGGAATGTACCTCTCTGTCTTGGTTAATTATAGTGGCATTAACATTTGAAGGTTCCAGAACATTCTAGAACCTGAAAGGAACATTCTGGAAGGAAACCTAATAGTAGAGCTTTATCCAAAAATAGTTGCCCACCACATCTTTTTCTTTTTTGTCATCTTTGGTGGTACATTCAGTAACAACTTGGCCTGTTTATCCATGTGGGAGGCACTGGGTGAGGAGGACCAGAGTCGAGCAAGGGTGCCTGTGTGACTGACTGAGGAGAGGCTCAGAAATGGATAGCACGAGCAGCTTCTGTCTCAGCTCCTATTGCGTCCCCTGGCCGGTCTTCACTTTGCATAGTCTGTAGGCCCAGCGCCAGCTTCTAGACACTTCTGAGGTCAGCCCTGCTCCTCTTGGAAGGCCAGACCCTGAACTGAGCCCTGACCTTGCAGAGCCCACCTGACCGGGGAGGAGCAGGTGAGGTGAGTGTTTCCAGGAAGCTGGACGGCACACCTTCCTTCACATGACTTAACGTATGTCAGCTTTTAGGATGTCTTAAAGTACTTTTTAGCCCATATTGGGTTGTGGATTCAGGTGACCCTTAATGTTTTTACCCGTGAGCATTTGTCAAGAAATTCCCTCTGTTATGTTTTGAGGGACTGATTTCTTTGAATGAAAGTGGCAGACTTTAGACTGTTCCTTGTCGAAGTCCACTCTTGTTTACTAACCCCTTTAGCAAATGACTAGTGCTTGTCATGGCTCTGTCTTCCCTTCTGTCTTTTATATCCAGAGAGAGACTGTGTCATGATACCGATGCATGTGTTCTCCCTCTCCCTTTGAAAAAAAGAACATTGTTAAGAGAAACAGTTCGTTAAAGATAAGCAAATTGTTAAACATAGCGGAGTGTAATAGCACAGGCCTAAAATCCCAGCACTCTGGGAGGCTGAGGCAGGAGGATCACAAATTCAAGCTTAGCTTGGACAACATAGTGACTTAGCCAAGACCGTATCTCAAAATTGTAAAAAAAAGAATTGTTGAAATTGTGCAACCCAGCCTGGATGGCCCTGGGCCTCCAGTGCTGTGACCTCGTGCAGCTGAGCCTATTTAACCACAGTACTTATTTCTGTATTTTTCCAAATGGAAACAGAGATACTGTCTCAGAAAAGCTCCCTGACCTTCCAGTGTGTGCCAAGCCCCTGGCTGCTGGTTCTCCAGGCGCCACAGCCCTATTCTTTCCTGAACCCACCGTGGCAGTGATTTTATACTTGCTTGTAATGATCTGACGCTTGTCTGCTGGCTCTGCTCACTGTAAGCTCCCCGAGGACAGGGCTGTCACCTGTCTTACCCTCTGTCGAGTCCCAAGAGCTTCCCATGGAGCTCAGCGTGGGACAAGTCTGAGGAAAGGCTTGTGGAATGAGTGACAGAGCACGCTCGTCTCTGGCACCATCCGTCTGGACAGACAGCTTCCTGCTGTTGGAAGGAAAGAGCTTTGATGTGATTTCCGTATGAGGCTGGCCCTGCAGGTGACCGGTCACTGTGTCCACAGAGAATCCTCGCCTCACCTGTCAAAGGAGAGAACTCAACCCCACTCCCTGCCCAGGGTCCAAGTTCGGGCACCCAGGGTCTTTGTGGGGAGAAACGAGCTTCTAGGAAAGGAAGGACGTTTGCTGGCCGAGAGGCACGTGGGGCTGTGTTCGCTCTCCGAGTCAGAGTGACGCTGCGGCAGCCCCGAAAAAAGAAGCCTGTGGCACCTGTGACTCTCGTCCCGCTCATGGAGGAGAAGCAGCAGCTTTCTTGTGTGCTTAGCGCAGCCGCCAGCCGGGACCCGTCCTCGGGCACCGGCTCGACACGGTGGTAGTTTCTGCGATGAGACCGAAGCAGGGAGCAGAGCGAGGCAGCGGGGCCCTGTCATCTCGGGCTGATCTCACGGGGCCGCGCTGCTTTCCTCTGACGAAGGACAGCGGCGCACGTGCTCGTCCATGGGGCAGAGGACAGGGTGTCAGTTCCATCCCACCGTGGGCTTGTGGGGAACGAACGGGCTTGTGCCGAGTAGTACAGCGTTTGCAGCCCCTCTTCAGGAATTGGGGGCTTGGGATGGAGAGATGCGAAGCCCAGCTGGAGTGGAGCTGGCTCTCGAGCCTGGAACCAGACCTGCTGAGAAGCTGCCGTCTGTTTGGTGCAGGGTTAGCAGAGTTTTTCCCTGTCCATCTTCAGATTGGGAGTGATGGCTTTTAGAATGTACCACTAGTGCTCTGCAAGAGTCTTTCCATTTTCATATCCCGTGAAAAGCCTGCTGACTTTCTCCGTCATTGTGTGGATTCATTCCTCAAATGTTTCTTAAGCTCCACTGTGCCCCAGAGGCTGGGTGTGGCTCTGGGGAAGCAATGGGCAAGATGTGCCTGCCCTTGGAGGGTGTGAGACTTTCATTTGGGCCAGGGAGTCTACCTGGGAGGTAAGCCAGAGTGCGAATGTAGCAGGTGGTGCTCCAGTGTGTGCCAGCTCTGCTTGGGCTGCCCTGCCTGCGCCTGGGGTGTAGGAGTTGGATTCTCCATCTGGACCTCTGCCCAGTCTGGCTTTCATAGCTGCAGGCTACCTTCTCTGCAGGCTCAGCTCCCAGGGAACATCACCCTAAGTCTGCAGATCCCCCAGGCAGGGTGCCCCAGCAGAGCTGTCCTGGAACTAATTACAGCTGACTCGGTTTACCGTCCTGTTGTGAGGCAGGGGTAGGCCTTGCTGGTCTGTGTCCTGGGAGCCTTCTGTCCCAAGGCCCGTGTGTCAGTGTGCAGTGATGTCCCTGCCCGGCAGGCCCCTCCTCTCCTCCTGGGTGCTGATGGAAGGGAAGCTTGTTTCCAGGGTGTCATGGAGGGCACAGGGGTCCTGAGGCTGGGACTGGGCAGTGTAAGGTAGAGAGAGCAGTTCTGGGCAGCCCCTCTCTGAGGACTGGGGCACCACTGGGGCACAGCACGAGGCCTAGGATGTGGAGGGCACAGGGGTTGAGGGTGGCGTCTTGGCCAGGGCTGAGCTGAAGCAGTCACAGGAGTGTGGAGGAGAGGCAGAGACAGAGCAGACCCGCGAGGCCCGGGCAGCTCCAAGATGCCCACGCTGCTCCTTGCAACCTAATCCCTGCACCATTAGCCCTGGCTCACTCTGCAGGGCTTGACATTTTCCTTGGCAGAGGCCGGGAGCTGCCCTGACTGGGCTGGCGTTGCGGGTATCATGAGGTGCTGATCAGGCCAAAGTGGAGGGACAGGTGTGTGAAGACGCTGAGGGGGCAGAATCCCTGGCGCCATCGTCCCTGAGCTGGAGCAAGAACCAAGAGCCCATGGCCAAGCCAGCACCACCTTCGTC